TGTGCTCTTCCGATCAAAATAATCATTTAAAAAAAATTCCATTAACGTAAATAAATAAAGACAATTTTACTATAAAACTTTTGTATACAACATTTTTTGATATCTTGAATAGTTTTCGAGATATAACGATAGAAAAAAAGAATTAATTTACATATAAGGGGTGAATTCATCCCTTTAAATCGTTTTTTAGCACCAACTGATAATTTCTAAATTTATCTATTTATGTGACCTCAAAGTGTACCAAGTTTCATTCAAATCAGAATTTGACACTTCGCGAGGTTCCCTTGTTAGAATGATTGAGCCGAATGGAGGAGATTAAAACGCGAGATTGCACGTCAATTCCATTTTTACAGCCTGGCATCTCCCAGCGGCTGAGGCAAGAATTGGGCGAGGCGGCTGTGCGTGCCGCTAAGGCTGTGGGATACGTGGGCGCCGGGACGGTGGAATTCATACTGGACCGGAATGATCACAGTTTTCACTTTATGGAGATGAACACGCGCCTCCAGGTGGAGCATCCGGTCACCGAGGCGATCACCGGCCTGGATCTGGTCGAGTGGCAATTGAGAGTCGCGAGTGGCGAGAAACTCCCGCTCAGGCAAGAGCAGATCAATCTCAACGGTCATGCGTTCGAGGCGAGAATCTATGCTGAGGTAACAGTCTACTGCATTTAGAGATGTAAATAGAAAGAAAACCAAATACGTTTTTTTTTCTTCAGAAAAAAACATAAGCCTCGTTTTTTTTCAAAAATTTTTTTTTTTCAGCTGTTTATTTAATATCTGTATTTTGCTTAATATAAGTTAACTTTTCATGATTTTTTATTTTATCGATAGTAGATTTAAATTATCATCATTTTAACCTTTACGCAGAATAAGAAAGCCAATATATTGATTCTAAAACATATTTTGAAGCAAGAACTTCAATGAATAATTATAATTCTACTGTTTAAGGAAAAGCTGTTTAAAAAAAGAATTAAACAGATTCTCCTTTTGTAAAAGTTAAATGTAGATCACATTAAAATTAATTATACAATTATATATTTACTATTTACAATTAATTAGTCGTGCTATCGGAATTAGAAAATAAAAACCAAATTTGTATTTTTTCAATGAAATAAAACACGCTTTTTTCTGTTTTTTCTATTAGAAAAAAAAACTTTTTTTTATATCTCTAACTGTATTATTATGTTTCTCTCTATTCGTATTCCACAAAATAAATGTGTAAATAAGTTTCATTTACCACTGAATGGATTTATCGATAATATCACAGAATCCAAGGAATGGTTTCTTGCCAGGAGCCGGTCAGCTCTTGTACTTGAAGCCTCCGGAGGCAACGGACAACGTCAGAGTTGAGACCGGAGTGCGGCAGAACGACGAGGTGTCTGTACATTACGACCCGATGATAGCGAAATTGGTGGTCTGGGGAAAGGACAGGAGCGAAGCTCTCAATGTACTTGTATCAAAGCTCAGTGATTACAACGTAAGTAGCGCAATTTACAAAAAAAAAAAAAAAAAAAAAAAAGAAAATTCATATCAAACAAGGAGCGAATATTAAGGATTGACTATGTCGGAAATCAAAATTATAACGCTTGAATGATAATTGAAATTATTATTTGCAGATAGCTGGCTTGGACACGAACATAGAATTTATTAAGGATCTCTGTGCGCATCCCAAATTTCAAAGAGGCGAGGTACACACGGGATTTATCGAGGAGAACTTCGAACAACTGTTCTCTGAATTGCGCACGTCCAGTGGAGTATTGATACAGGGCACCCTCGCCTCGATACTGCACGAGGACATGGAGTCGTTACGCGCGTCCTTAGAAACGAAGGATCCTCTTACTCCGTTCGCCGTGGAAACCGGACTCAGACTAAATCACGTGCTGAACCGTACGTTTCGTTTCGACGTTGGAAAGGAGAGCAACACGGTGGAGGTGAGGTACACCGAGCCGGATGTGTATCTGATGAGGGTCAACGGATTGGGACCCTGGAGGAGAGTGACTGGAACGTTGAAGAGGACGGACGGTGCTTTAGAATTGTTCGCGGAGATCGACGGGGTTGTCGCCAAGGCGCGAACGGTGAAACTTGATAATAAGTTACACATATTCACCAAGGTAATTGATTAGCCGCATGGGCGTAGTTATAAATGATAATCGCAACGCGCGTTGCATGTAAATTTCTACGAGGTGATTTTTGTAAATCCGCAGGATCGTGAGTGGCAGCTGGTCGTTCCCACTCCCAAGTTCGTGACCGCGATTACGAGCCAGGCGGAGCAGAATCCGTACACGGCTCTGAGCCCGATGCCTGGACTAGTCGACAAGATCTTCGTCAGCAAGGGCGACACTGTAAAGAAGGGCGATTCGCTGCTCGTTATTGTCGCTATGAAAATGGAGGTGAATTTAATTGGATATCTGTATTGCTGATCGACGCGATACACGATTTATGACTTAGCTGACGTTCTCTCTTTCTGATTCGCAGCACATTATTAAGGCGTCCATAGACGGAACGGTTGAGGACGTGCTGTGTTCTACAGGCGATAACGTTGCCAAACATAAGCTTCTCGTGAAATTGGCCAAAGCCGCAACGTAATGTGATATACATAAGAGAAAGCGCTGACTGAAAGATACTGAGAGACAGAGAGATGCAGAAGTTATAATTCTTAAATGATTATTGTAGAAAGGTATATTGTTAATCTAAAATGTAAAATGAATTATATTTTGTTATGTTTTAATAAAAAAATAATAAATGCTGACATAATCTGGTATAATTTCGTACATTTATAGATGTATGTAGTAATTGAAAAATTTATACATCTAGAGAAACAGCATAAATTTCAGAAGAAAGGTATTTGTTAATCTAAATGTAAAATGAATTATATTTTGTTATATTAATATAACAAAACATAATTCATTTTACATTTAGATTAATATACATTTTTAAATTTGTTTTTTATTAAAATTTTAATAAAAAAAGGTAATGAATGCTGATATAATCTGGTATAATTTCGTACATTTATAAATATATATAGCAATTGAAAAATTTATATATCTAGAGAAATAGCATAAATTTCAGAAGAAAGGCATAAATTAGCAGAAAGGTATATTATTAATCTAAATGTAAAATGAATTATATTTTGTTATGTTTTAATAAAAAAAAAGATAATAAATGCTGACATAATCTGGTATAATTTCGTACATTTATAGATGTATGTAGTAATAAATTGAAAAATTTATACTAGAATTTATACTAGAGAAATAGCATAAATTTCAGAAGAAATAGGTATTTGTTAATCTAAATGTAAAATGAATTATATTTTGTAATGTATTATATTAATATAATAAAACATAATTCATTTTACATTTAGATTAATATACATTTTTTAAATTTGTTTTTTATTAAAATTTTAATTCATTTTACATTTAGATTAATATACATTTTTAAATTTGTTTTTTATTAAAATTTTAATAAAAAAAGATAATGAATGCTGACGTAATCTGGTATAATTTCGTACACTTATAGATGTATATAGTAATTGAAAAATTTATACATCTAGAGAAGTAGCATAAATTTCGAAGAACTGCTCCTTTTTGAACAGTGTAATATAATTAATTATATTAACATTATAAAACATTTTTAACAAAGATTGGACAAGAGCGTAATTTTCAGAAAAGAAATTCACTAGCAATTTTGCACGTAATTATATGAATGATCACAATGTTGGCAGCATTTTCAAAACACGTTCAAAGTTCAAAGCGGTGTACTATCGCCACTGTGGCCGGACGCCGATCGCGAAGCGTGGACGATTGATAATAGCAGTTCTCTCGAAATTCAGAGTAATAATACCGATAGTAATTGTTTGACGTTAGCGTGGCATAGATTTTTTTTTTCAAACATAGGATGAGTAACTTCCACTCTCCTATGAGATGTATTTCTCCCAACGCGAGGTAAAGACTCTTTAAATCATCGTCGGAGTAAGGTTAGGACGTACTGAGGTTAGGAAGGCATTCCTTTCCAACTCCGATAAATACCTTATTTACAGAGTTTTAACGCCCAAGCCGCAGGTGCAGCAATTGTTGGAGCTGAGGCAGATGCAGACCAAGGCTCGCAACAGTATCGTGTGGTTCTCTATCAACAGCGTCCTGCTTAGCGTTATAATCTTCGACATGTGAGTCTCTCGTCTCTCCAAACTCCTGTACCGAAGCGACAACAAAGTCTCCTACAAAGTCGGCTGTATTTTCCAGATTTTACGGTGGATTCGCGTACAAGCCGGTCTACTGGATCGAGTGGTTCCTAGTATCGATATTCGCCCTGAACGCTCTGTACCACATTGTACAGTACACCTGGACCACGCTGAGTCTGAAGCCGATTGCGCTCGGCCCTAAGCAACGGCCGCTCCTAGGAGTCGCGGAGGATGACCCCCTGTTCAGGGACGAGATACCGCAGAAGCAGACGACCCCGGAGCCGAGTCCCTCGTTGAACCTGTCGTGCATAAATCTCAGCAGACGCTCGACTACCCTTGGATCTTCGGTTCTGAGCGACAGTGCGCAAGATCCCTTTCCTTTACCGTATTATGCCTTAAATTTTACTGTGTAAAACGGCAGTTTTTTTACATTGGGTTTTTCTCTGTTTTGCTTTTCTTTTCAAGAGGATTACTCGACAACCGTCCCATTTTTTAAATACAGCAGTCTGATATCCTCCAAAGCGACCGCTTGCTCCAACGGATCGCTCAGCAGATCTATGAACGTTTCCTTAAACGGCAGCCTGACGAACGAGGATCTCATTCAGGACGAATGCGAACTCGAGAGTTACCTCAAGGAGGTCGAGCAACAAAGGAAATGTGTACTGTCGACGAATGTCGATCAACCTTCCAATCTCTTGAGCTCCTTCTGGTCTCACCCCGCCACTCGAAGTCCCGGTGAGGTATCGCCGTTGTTAAGAAGATGCGCTTATCAGCTCGCGCCCACTATAGGTAATTAAATGTGAAATTTAATGTTGCATATACATGTACCTTATATTTTTTCTATGAAAATTCTTAAAAAAAAATTACTCGCATTGTTATTTAGATAAAACAAAAGCGACCAGCCCCGCTGAGGAAGGGAGCTCTCCTAGGGGCACATTTGGTGCACTAGACGTATGGAGGAAGTATAGAGTTGATTCTAACAAAGTGAACGAATGGACCGCCAATCTCCGGATGGTAAAGAGTTACAATATATAAAAATAATTACTCCAATAAGGAACGAGAATTGTCTGATTTTAATACTTAATAAAATGTATGTGTGAAATGTTTCAGTGGATCAGCAAGACAGTCGTCGAACGCGTGGCTTTGGAAATAGACAGTATATGCGCAACATTAGTACGCCACGGCCTGAGCGACTCGCAGCCGGGCCATGTGGGTCTGGACAGACTCAGGAAACTCGCGCAGGCGCAATTTCTGGTCTGTGTGATTCCATCTCTGCCCACGTTAGTTCCCTTCCTGGAGCTCTGTAACAATCAGGAGTACCTTGTGAAGAGAATAAAAACACTCGCCAAAGGAGGATCCATGAGCGAATTCAAGTGGAACGGCGGTGGGTCTCACAATGGTAAAGAGTGGGACTCCAGCTTGCCAACGGATTCTGCTGTAAGCATTAAAAAAAAAAAATTATAAATTCCCTGAAATATGTAAGATATCGGTAGCTTCTCCGAAGATCCATACTGATTTTTTCGTACTCTCGTCTCTTGCAGATAATAATGCATTTAATTTCGACCTACATGGACACGCAGTTGGAAGCACCCTTGGATCAACCGGACGCCAGGCCATTTACATCGAGATACATGGCGAGATCTGGCATGGAACTGCCGCGAAATAAGGGCCCGATAATAGTCTGTCAATCCATAAATCCGCCGCATTATAGCCTGGCGCTATCCGGCGATTCTCTCCCAAGCGACTACGAGGAAGTTCAACGGGTAATTAAAATCTCGTCGTGTAGATATATTTATGTTCATCGACTCTTACAATGGCATTTATTATATTTTTAGGGACGCAATAATTTGTTCCATACGCTCTTACTCTTTTTATACATAGTCAAGACGCGAGATCACGGTATGTTAGGACGAGTTAATGCAGGATCGTCTGGAATTAATATTCTATGGGTGATAGACGGTTGAAGCGAGACGATTTTTTTTTTATTTGCTGCCTGATTAAGATAAAAGAAAAAAAAGGGACGATTGTGGCTATTATACGATGAAATCGGATTTGTATCCGTAACTTCGACTGCGTTCAATATTTTGTCTGTAATATTTCATATTATTTGTATATATAGTATTTAATAAATGCGACTGAATAAAATGAAATGTTTATACTAAAAAGATTGATAACACTTGATTAATAAGTTAAACTTGTTATAATTTCTTTATTCTTGTTGCGCCTAAAATTGAAGACAAAAATTATGATCTCTAATAAGTTTCCCTAATAATTCTTGATTTAACAAACCAAGGTACCTCTTCTATCAAAATATTGTCAAGATTGATAGTTTTGTCATTAAACGTTAATAATAATTTAGTTAAAAGTATGTATGTATATATATACTTTTATGGAAAGTGACAATGAGATTGCATGATCTTGTAGTAACATAACTAACAAAATATTTTATAATATGCACAACGTTATAGAATTACAGCATAGATATATACATTTTTCAGCTTAAAAAATAGAAACACAAAAATAAAATAATTCAAGTATATATATATATATATATATATATATATACAATAGGAATACAGAAAAATAAAATAATTTAATTTAAAAAAATATATATTTCAATTAATATACATATATATATAAATTGAAATATATATATTTTTAAATTAAATTATTTTATTTTTGTATTCCTATTTTTCAAGCTGAAAAATGTATACTATGCTGTAATTCTATAATATTGTACATATTATAAAATATTTTGTTAGTTAATCCAGTACAAGATCACGCAATCTCATTGTCACTTTCCATAAAAATCTCGAATGATCAATTCAATTACATGCTTAACAAGATTTCCGTCTCTCTCATTTTTATGATCAATTAATCATTGGAACATATTCGATAGAGTAAATCGTATTTGAAATTCTATAATTTATTGTATTATTCTTTGGATTATAATATTGTAAAAATTACAAAGGGTTTCCTTTCAGCTCTCGAACCAATATATACAACAAAAATATATCGATACAGTAAGTTTAGTAACTCCGATACCATAAACCACAATATAAGATTAGAACAAATACTTTATTTATTACAACAAAAACTAAGTAATAAGAATAAAGAATCATGTCTGATACATATGATAACAACGTTTATATGATATATTTATACATGTGGTTTAGTTTCGTACTAATTTTACAATTGTTATGCAGACACGAATTAATATTATGTGTGTAAGAGCACAATTGCATAAAAACTTAACTATTATAAAATTTATAATTTTTAGGATCTTCATTTTGCTGCTGTATGCTTTAATGGAAAAAAAATTACTAAATTGATTGCAATATGTAATTTTAGAGATTCTTGTATAAACTGTTTGATATTTTAAATATATGAGGACTAAGATTTCGTGCGAATTCCAGAAGACGACATTACACAACATCGCTTAAGACATTCTTTCTACAAGAATCAATAATAACATATTATACATACGCAATATTAAACAAAAATTACAAATCCAGTTTCTCAGAGAAGAAAACTAAAAGTCTCTTATATGTCATTCATTATTTAAGATCAGTGTAACGTCTAGATAAAATTATTATAATTATCATGTAATTATAATATATGTATATATGCATATAAAGTTATACATGTATTATAAACATATACACATATAATTATATATAATTATGCAATTACATGTGTTATAACAATCCTCTATCGTAAAGTAAAAGTAAATGATAGCGTCGACAGATTTAGAACATTCAAGTTGTTTGCGAACGAATTCTTGTATGAAAATGGAAGTATTCGATTAAAGAAAAACGAAGAAAGATCTCTTGGAAGAACGAACTAAGTGAAAGTAAAGCTAATAGTATTTAATACATTAAGCTTTAAGTATTTAAAAGCTACTCTCTTATCCATATATCATGTCTCTTAAAGAAAATCTATCTATATTACATGTACAACACACATTCATGACAAAGACATCTGCGCCTCTCTCTCGTCTTTCCATGATTTGTCAAAAACGTTTACGCTATTCATTTCCAGATAATATATATTATTATGGAAAGATACGTATATCTAAAACTTCCAGATAAATTATACATATATCGCATTATTAATGCCGTCACCGTTGCAAAAATAAACTTCAATATAACGTTTCGTACATAATCGAAAATGATACTCCCTTCTGTTAAATTCACGTATTTATCGTACAGCTAGTGGAGCACATCGTAGTATCCTTTCTTATCCAATGCAAGAAAAATCCCTCAATAATATGAGCTACTTTGTCGCGAATTATCATTTCCGGATTTTCCCGTGCGTTTCTCGGAATTGTGGGAATGAAAACGACATTCACAGGATGTCGCAAAATTCGTTCTGATCGTTCAGATCAAGAAACGTATCGTCTCGATACGCTTTCATCCTTACGAAAGCATCCCTTCTTTTCCATTATTATTATTATTATCAAGCACGAGAAAGAGATGGCTCGATTAAGAGGTGGTGAATATCTTTGTACCCTCAGGTATTATTACCTCTTCGCCTACGTCAGCGAGGGTGACGGTAAGCGGCAGGATTAGAGGCATCAGTATCTCCTGATGCTGCATAACTTGCTGCGTCGTCACCGTGGTGGGGTCGGCTTGCCTCGCTATAGCGATCGTTTTGATGTTCTGTGCCTTGACCACTTGTGCCCCGATTGCGGTTTGATGCAACCTGACTGGATGCGGTTGCGGCTGCACCTGTATCTGTATTTGCTGCGGTTGCGGCTGCTGTTGCTGCTGCTGCTGCTGCTGCTGTTGCTGCTGCTGCTGCGTCTGAATCTGTATTTGCTGCGCCCGGTTCTGGTTCTGCAAAAGATTCTGCTTGCAGCGCTTGCTGTGCGCGTAGCGGCTGCCGTTATTGTTGAACTTCCTGTCGCAAGTCGGACACTCGTACGGCCGTTGACCCGTATGAATAAACATGTGCTCCTTCAGCGATTTCAATCGCCGGAAGTTCTTCGGGCAGCACTTGCAGTGGTACTTGGCCTCGCCGGTGTGCGACGTCAGATGATTCGCCAGGGTGTCGGCGCGCGCGAACGCACGCGAACAGTACTGGCAGATGTACGGACGTTCCTGCGTGTGCGTGCGCATGTGCATCTTCAGGTAGGCGTTGGTGGTGAACGGCCTGGAGCAGACCTCGCAGACGAACGGCTTGATGCCGTTGTGCGCGCGCAGATGCGCTATCAGCGTCGTCGACTGCGTGAAGCTCTTGCTGCAGATCTCGCAGAGGAATCTCTTCGAGCTGTCGGTCTCCTTGCTCTTCTTGAACGTGCGATCGTGCTTGGGCAGATGATTGTTGAGCTGCTCCTCCTTGATGAAGCGCTTCGTGCAGCGGGTACACTTGTACGGCTTGACCATGTTGTGCTTGGCCACGTGGATCTTCAGGTGCTCCCGCCGGTAGAACTTCTTCGGGCATATGTCGCACAGGTACTTCTTGCCCTCGTGAACCTGAATGTGCCGCAGCAGGCCCTTCCTGGAGGTGTACTGTTTGTTACATTCGGTGCACTCGAGCCCGACGATGTCGGTCCGCCTCTTCCGGCCGATCTTCTCGCCCGATTTCTTCTCCTCGGATCTCGGCTCGATGTCCCTCAGATCCTCCTCCGTTAAGATACCCTCGGTGACGTGCTTGGCCCTGTGCTCGCGCAGCATCTCGTTGTTCTCGAAGCTGTCGCCGCAGATGTTGCACTTCCTCACCTGATCGGGATTCTTCTCCGAGCACTTGTCGTAGTGCGCCTTCAGCTTGTCCTTGCGGTAGAACTTGACGTTGCAGATGTCGCACTCGAAGTTCGGCTCCTCGTGCAGCAGCTGGTGGCGCAGCAGCGACTTCTTCGTGCTGTATCGCTTCTTGCACGTGCTGCACTCGTGATTGTCCATCGGCCAGTCGAGGCCGCTCTCGAAGTCGGAGTCGTTATCGTCGTCATCGTTGTCCGCGCCCACGTTGCTCGCCCTCTGCACTTCCTTCTTCTCCAGAGCGGCCTTCTTCAGCTTCTCCGCCGCCTTCTCCGCCGCCTTCTCCGCTTTCTCCTCCTTCACATGTTGCTCCATGTGCTTCGTCAACGCCTGCTTCGAGCTGTATCTCTTGTTGCAGGTCGCGCACTCGAACTCCTTCCTATGGCTGTACTTCTTTGGTGTGGAGTCGCGCCTACGGCGATAATGCCCGTCCAGTTTGGCATCGTAATCGATATTGTCGTCGTTATCTTCGTCGTAATCCTCGAGACCGTCCTCCGTCTTGATCTTGTCGATGATCTTCTGCGCCGCTCTCGCCGCCACGCGCTTTATACGCTTGTTCGGATCGTATTCCTGTCCGTGTACGAATGTCTTGTGATTCGTGGCAACTAGGTGATTTCTCAGCGTGAGCTCGTTGCCGAAGGTCTTGTTGCACTGGGTGCACTTGTAGGTTTTCACCCGCGCGTGCTGCTCGGCGTGTCTGCGCAGGAGATCCTTCCGCGTGAATTGTTGGCAGCATATCTTGCATTCGTAGGAGCGCGCGGGGTGCGTCATCTCGATGTGTCTGGAGAGCGTTTTCTTGCGCGAGAATGTCATCGAGCACGTCGGACACTTCAGCTCCTTCGTATTTTCGACAAAATCACCGCTGCTCTCCTCGTCCTTGACGTTCCCGTTGTCCTCGCCGTGGTTCTCGACGGTCCTCGCCGTCATCTGTTTCACGTCCTCCTCCAAATCCTGCTCGGAAAGCACACCCTCGACCACGTGCTTCGTACGGTGATTTCTCAGTCGTTCCAGAGTGTCGTACTCCTCGTCGCACACGCTGCACTTGAAGGTAACATGCGCGAGCGAGTGCTTCTGCAAGCCTCGCTTCGTGTCGAATCTTTCCGTACACTTGTCGCACGCAAACTCCTCGACGTGACCGCGCTTTCTTCTCCTGTCCTGATCGCTGTCGCTCGCGGCGTCGTCGACTGCGCTTCCCCGTTTTCGCTTCCTGCTCTCGCCGTCCGATCTATTGCCGTTATCGAAGTCCAGACTGAGCTCGTCCTCGTGGAACGATACCTCGAGCGGCATCGGATCCTCCTTCGCCTCCTCCCGCTCTCGCTCGTGTTGCTTAATGTGCTTAGTAAACGAATTTATGTACAGATACTCTTTACCACAATAAGGGCACTTGTTGGCTTTCTTCCCGGATGGTGGCGTTTTCACGGCGGAAACGCTGGTCTGCGCCTTCTGCGGTTTCTCCGGCGTTTTCTTCAGGGACAGCGTCTTTCTCACCTCTTCGTGGGAATGCATATGCTCCTTCAGGACGCTCTTCGACAGAAACTGTTTGTCGCACAGGTAGCACATGAAAAAGATCTTCTCCGCCTTGTCCGCCTGTGCTTTCTTCAATCGAGAACTGAGATTCAGATTTTCAAAGTAATTCTCCTCGTCGGAATCCCGCTCGGCGAACGTGCGACGAGCCAATCTACGTTTACTTCGTCTAGTTTCGTTTTGGGACGATTCCTGTTCCACTACTGGCTCGTCAGCTTGGGGTGCATCTTCCTCGAAGAATTTTTCCTTCGTGTCATTTTGATTTTGTTCAACTTGACTTTCCTGCAGAGCCTCCTGCTTTAGTTCAACTCGAGCCTCTTTGTTCTGCTCGATCTGAGCCTCGTGGATTTCTTGAGCTGAAACCTCTTGAATTTGCTCAGCTTGCATCTCCTCGTTTTGCTCAGCCTGAATCTCCTGATTCTCCTCGGATGGCGCCTCTCGGTCTTGCTCGGATGGTGTCTCTTGGCATTCCACTGCGTCCACTTGTTCAAGTTTCGGTACACCCCTCTGCATATCTTTATGCAAGGACAGTTGCTCAGCGGACAGTATGCACTGTTGCTGCATAATATAATCATGTTCCTCCGTTGGAATTGCATCTGTGCAACTACGAATGATATTCTCGTCGCCGGAGGGTCCGTCGTTTCTAAAATCGTCAATAGCATCCGACATATCGTTGTCTTCCGCACTGGCCAATTCCTGCTGCAATTCGTCCGCGATGCTCTCCTGCATGATCACTTGCGGATTATCCTCTTCTGGATCTAAACAGTTAGAGTTATAAGACATATTACATCGAAAGCTTTAAAACTCTTTATCATAAAAGCGACATTCAATTCGAATCTCGTTTGCTTGAATCAATTGCGTATATTTACCCACCTTGTTGCACGCCATCTGTCTCCGCCAACTTTTCAGCTTCCAAAATCATTAGGTGACTTTTCAGAAAGCTGTTCTTGTCACCCACCGACTCTTCTGGCAGCGCGGCGGTGGTCTCGTAATCCGCGCCGACATTCATCTCGTCCAAACCGTCGCTCCTCTCGGCGTCCAAGTGTATCTCGACCTCATTGAGAAACAACTCCTCCTTTATTATCCCTCCAACGAGCCTCTCCCGTAGAACATTATCGGCCTGCTCCACTTGCAACTTAAACTCATACGCCGACTCCAACTTGTCGGCGCACACGCAGCACACCTGTGCCGGTAGACCGTCGCCTGGTAACATCTGAATGATCGAAAGCAGACTGTTTAGTATATCCTGAAAGCCATAGGGTTGTGCATCTACGCGTAAAATATAATACTCTATGTTTATGTGTAGACAACGTAAACTATTGCATAAAGTGTCATCTATGTAGACAGTCAGTAGACCATTTTTATTTATTTAATAAATACATATAATTTAACGTTTATGTAAAAAAAAAACTACCATTTGAGTAAGAAAAATTCTCTGGTTCTTAATCTTAATCTCGTAATTAAATTAATGTTCAAAAGGGTTGTGTATCTACATGTAAAATATAATACTCTACGTTTACGTGTAGACAATGTAAACTATTGTATAAGTGTCATCTATGTAGACAGTAGACCACAATTTATTCATTTAATAAATACATATAATTTAACATTTATGTAAAAAAAAACTACCATTTGAGTAAGAAAAATTCTCTGGTTACATATACTTAAACTTAATCTCGTAATTAAATTAATGTTCAAAACAGGGTTATGCATCTATATGTAAAATATAATACTCTACGTTTACGTGTAGACAATGTTAACTATTGCATAGTGTCATCTATGTGGACAGTCAGTAGACCACAATTCATTTAATAAATACATATAATTTAACGTTTATATAAAAAAAACTACCATTTGAGTAAGAAAAATTCTCTGGTTAAAGTCTTAATCTTAATCTCGTAATTAAATGTCCAAAATCAACAATATCCTAAAGGTGTCGTGGTATCTTTAGCCTGATCCTAGATACATTTTGGATACATTTCTGCTGTGGGTAGAGACTGCTTTATAATTTAATTCTTTTATATATTGTATATATTATAGTGATACAATTTACAATAGTCTACATAGTTTACAAGTCTAGATTGTCTATACGTAGCAAAAGGACCATGTAAACATCACGTAGATTTCACGTAAATAATTCGTGTAGGCGTAATCTCGAAATCTACGGCACAACCCTGCGGCGGAAGGGGATGCCGTTGTGCGACAGCGGCGTATAGGTGTTAAAAGGCAGGGGGATGGTGCAAGGACGTGTCGTGCAGAACTCGACAAACGATCGAACTCGGTAACTGTTTTGAAGGGTGGAAATCGCGAGGAGCGCGAGAATCGCCGATGGGAGATCTAAATCTGTTCGGGATTGGGAAGGGGGAGAGCGACGGTAGTGGCGAAGGAGGATGCTCCCGAGGACGTACGGCTCGCGTCGGAGCCTAACCTCCAAAAATTGCGCATCTAACCTTAACGTTGGCGAAGCTCATCGCCTTCGCCGAGAGGGACGCGACCTCGCTCTCCACGAAGAGGTCGCGCATCATCGGGTTGTCGAGCAGGCAGACGCGGCATATCTTCACGGCGGGCGCGACCGCGTCCTCGCCCTGCGGCGGACCCGACGTATTTATCTCCACGGCGTCCATGTTTCGCACGGCGGACTGACTTGGACCGTCGACCTGGGACGTACGAGTCGGGCCGCTGCCCGGCTGCCACGCTGCTGCTCCTCCTCCTCCTCCTCCTCGCTGGTCCCGCGCACCGTGGTCTTCTCTCACCCACCAATATATTATATATTATATGTATTATATTATATATATTACATCAACGATTACATTTTAAAGGACCATTTTTTTTATTTACTAGTAATATCAACTTGTGCTTTCAAAAACACAGGATGAGAGAACCAAGTGGGGCTGCGTTCAGAAACTACGCCTAGGCGCATCTAGATGTCACTTTATCCTTGTTTAACATTCGGTGAACAACAAGGAAAACATATGATGTACCGTGAATTCCTGAACGCAGCCTAGTATGTATCAGAAAGGATCCGAAAAAGGATATGTCTATTTCTACCAACGTAGATTAACTTTAATTCAGGTTTAACTTACTCTGTACTCTTTTTCTACTTTTAAGAATTGGAAAAAGATAAGAAGTAAATAAAACCGTGATTAAAGTTAATCTACATTGGTAGAAATGGACATAAGGGAGAATTCACACCTTGACAGAAAAGCAAAAACCAATCAAAACTCGCGCTGGTAGTCGACAGTTTCTGTTTTCTGTGTTGGTGTGTGTGTGTGTGTGTGTGTGGGTGTGTGAAGTGAAGCTGCTCGATAGCTGCACTACATTGCACACTTTCTGCACTCGAAATAGTATATACGGTTCAGATGTTGGCGGGAGAGAGAGAGAAAAGGCGAAAAAAGTGAGAATACAGCGACGAAGGAGTAGCCAATCCTCCCCGCGGCTTGGAAAGAAGCACGGAAAGTCGCGAGGAAATTCGCGTGTTTTTCTTAGAATCGCCCATCTTCCGCAACTTTAGTTAATGTCAATTTTATAATTTTATGCGGATCTAGTAATGTCTAGTAATTTTCGAATGCTATTTCACTTCCTCTGCAATCTAGTAATTTTTACGTATTTCCGGTGGATTTTAAGTAACTTCCGGCGATCTCGTTTCCCTCTCTCCCAGTTGAAAAAAAGGAAGAAACGGAAGAAAAATTTGTCTCCTCTTTTGTTTCAACTTCCTTTATGTCGCAACATAAAAATTTCGATAAAATGTAACATTTACAATTGAAATTTCAATCTTGTTAATATAATTATTACGTATAATCGATATCGTAACTCTCGCTTATAATTACACACTGTTATAATTATCTTAAATGCTAATATCGATTAGAAATTGCGTTAATAGTTTCTTAAACGTTTTTTTTTTTTTTTTTTGAAAGAAAGTATTGTCTTCTTTTATACCTCGTGTTGCTCCGAGATCGACTTTTGTATCTTATTGTCCGGAGGTGATCGAACGCTATTGAGCTTTTGACACGATTCCATGATCAAGGACGCATCACCGCCGCCAGATATGGCGCACTCGCTCATCCTCTCCGTTATCGCGGATTTATTAAAACAACTTTCCGTTTCCGGTCTAACAGTTTGACATAGTTTTTCGACGATGTTGAAAACCGCGTCCTTGTTCACGCCTCCCGAGGATATGTTTTCCATCTTTGAGAATTGGCACGACGAGAACGTTGCATTCTCCGACGTGGATGACGAAGTTATCTTCTCTAAAGCAGCTGAAAGCGGCTTCCGATGTAATCACAGTTCTTATCTAGATGATCTCTTTAAATACAATCGTGGACATATCGGTTGCAACACTTTTTTCATAGGTTTTTAATATACATATATATTATATATATTTTTATATATTATATATATTTATTATATATATTTTTTATAGGTAACTAAATATATACTAAAAACAAAATATTATATATATTTATATAATTTATATATATTATTTATTTATATATTTGTTATAT